GCCCTCAGCTCCGCCTGGGCCTGGCTCTCGCGCAGCTGCACCCCCAGCACGGCCTCGTGCAGCGCCCGCGGCTCCTTCCAGCGGCCCCCGCACACCTGGGGACACACCTGCTCAGGTGGGGACACACCTGGGGACAGCTGGGGACACACCTGCTCAGGTGGGGACACACTTGGGACACCCAGGGGCAGCTGGGACACCCTGCCACTTGTCCCCAGTGTCCCCGTGTCTCACCTGCCAGGTGTCCCCCAGGTCACTCAGGGCCAGCTCCTGCAGCTCCTCCTGCAGCCGAACCACGCTGGACTCGTCTGGCAGCAGCGGCTGGCGCTGGGGACAGGGACAGGGGGACATCAGTGGGGACATCAGTGGGGACAGATGGAGGCACCTTCAGAGAGCCACCCAGGACAGTTCCTGTCCCCAGTGCCACCCGTAGGACCTCCCTGTCCCCAGTGCCACCACTCCCCGTCCCCACAGAACCCTGCCACCCCTGGTGTCCCCACGGTGTCCCCACAGTGTCACCTTCTCCATGTCCAGGACCTTGTCCTGCATCTCCTTGAGGGCGCCCAGGGTTTCGCTCTCGCGCAGCCGCGACCGCTCCAGCTCCGTCTCCAGGTGTGCCACGAACTCCTCGGTCAGGCGGGGGTTACCCTGTCCCCAAACGTCCCCAAACGTCCCCAGGTGTCACCAAACATCACCTCCCACCCACCACCAAATCCTCGTTCAGGCAAGTGTCACCAAATGCCACCAACGCATCCTCAACGCTGTCACCTGCCTTGTCACCTCCCCACCTCCCTCAGCTGGGGGCTCCGTTGTGTGACACTCAGGTAACAGGTGACAAAGGAGGTGACAAACAGGCAGCACGCAGGTGACACAGTGACACAGGTGACAGACAGGTGACAATGACACACCTGCAGCTCTCTGATGGTGCTCTGTGCCCGTCTCAGGCTCTCGGTGGCCGAGCTGCAGCGTTGCCGCACCAGTGCCAGCTCCCGCCGGATGACGTCGTTCTCCTCAGCCTCCTGTGCTCGTGTCACCTGGCCCTGGGGACAGTGGGGACATCGGGGACGCTGTCACCTCCTGCCACCAGGGCAGAGCCAGCACGGCTGTGGTGGCACTGGGGGGACAGTGAGTGACACTGGGGACAGTGAGTGACACTGGGGTGACGCTGGAACTGCAGAATGGGCTCAGGGACAAGGGAGTGACACCAGGGACAGGGAGGTGCCACCAGCCCCGTGGGGACCTCCAGGGCCATTTGTCCCCTCCCTTCCCTCCCCCACCCCAAACCATCCCTCCCTGCTGGGCTGCGCGGGAGCCTCCGGAAAAGCAGGAAAAAAGGCGGAAAAAGCGAAAATCCGCCCCAAAAAGAGGCTGGGGGAAGGGAGGGGAGGAGGAGGAGGAGGAGGAGGAGGAGGAAATGGGTGGAAAAAGGGGAAAATCGGGAATGAGGCAGTACCTGGATGAGGCGATCGGCCAGGGCCGCGCTCTCCTGGGAGGGGAGGGGACAGCGACAGAGCCAGGTCAGGGACAGCGACAGCGGCGACAGCGACAGAGGCACCCGCGCCCCGCCCCCTTCCCGCGGAATTCCCACACAATTCCCGCAGAATTCCCACACAATTCCCCAGGATTTGGGGTTTTGTGCCCCGAGCGTGGAGGTTTAATGCAAAAAAGGGATTTTGGCCCTAAACGGGGGATTTTGTCCAAAAGAGGGGAGAGTTTGTGGCTGAATGGAGCAATTTTACCTCGAAATGAGAGATTTTATTCCAAAATGTGAGATTTTGTTCAAAATAGGAGGGATTTTACCCCAAAATGGGGTTTTTGTCCCAAAACGTGGGGATTTTACCCCAGAACTGGAGTGCCCTAGGAGGTTTGGGATCCTCAGAAGGGGTTTGGGGGGTTCTTGGGGGATTTGGGGTTTTTTTGGGGTCTCCCCTGGTGCTTCTGGAGTTCCATGTGTTTTTTTTGGCATTCCCTGGGATGGGTTTGGCTTTTTTGGGGTCCCCATGGGTGTTTTTGGCTTTTTTGGGGTTCCCTGGGGTCTTTCTGAGTCTCCCCAGCTGCTTTTGGTTGTTTTGGGGTTCCATGCAGTGTTTTAAGTGTTTTCTTTTTTGTTTTTCGGGGTTCCAGGCCGTGTTTCGGGGTGTTCTGGGGTGTTTTTGGGCTCCCCCCGGGTGTTTTGGGGGTCCTCACCTTCTCCAGGGTCTCGATGCGCTGCTTCAGCAGCCGGTTCTCGGAGCGGAGCCGCTGTGGGGACAGGGAGGGGACAGGGAGGGGACAGGGAGGGGACAGAAGAGAGATTAGCCCAGGAAAGAGGGAGGGGATGTCCCCAACTGCCACTGACCCCTGGGGACAGCCAGGGTGTGTTTGGTGACCCTGGGAAGACCCAAAGTGGCTTCAGGGTGGGTTTGGTGGCCCCAAGGTTGGGTCAGGTGGCCCTGGGGTGGCTCCAAGGGCTGTGGGATGGCTCAGTGTGACCCTGTAATGACCCCACGTGTCCCCAGGTGTCCCCAGGTGTCCCCGGCCGTGTCTCACCTTGATCTCGATCTGCTCCTCCATCTCCTTGCTCTTGAGGGCGGCGTATTCCTTCTCCAGCCTGCGGGGACGGGACAGGGCTGGGGACAGGGACAGGGCTGGGGACAGGGCTGGGGACAGGGGACGGGGACAGGGACGTGTCCCCCTGACCTCTTCATCTTCCTGGGGTTGTACTTGACCTGGCAGGCGCGCAGGATGAGCTTGTCCGGGCACGAGTCGAACTGGTGCGGGATCACCTTCTGGAAGTACTGCAGGGCCGGGATCACGTCAGGGAAAGCTCACCCCGAGTCAGGGAAAATTCACCCAAATCGGAGAAAAAATGGCACAAAATGGGAAAAGCCCACCCGGAATGAGGGAAAACTGACCCCAAACGGGGGAAAACCGGCACAAAATGGGGAAAACATCATCCCACTCTGGCCAAACCCATCCCTAAACCCATCCCACTGACCAACCTCCCCCAAAGCCCCATCCCACTGAGCAAATCCACCCCAAAATCCATCCCCAAATCTTCCCAGTGACCAAATCCATCCCAACCCCACCCCAAAATCCATCCCCAAATCCTTCCCAGTGACCAAATTCACCCCGAATCCATCCCAGCCCCGCTCGGGGCGGTACCTGGGACATCCCCTCCATGTCCAGCTGGACCAGCTCGGCCTGGTTGAACTGGAGCAGCGCCATCCCCACACGGAACACGATCTCCAGCCCCTGCCGGCGGCCCTGCCTCGTCACTGGGGTCACCCCGGGGCCAGCACGGCCACCCCGGGGCCACCACTGCCACCCTCAGGACAAGCTCAGGTCCTCCCGGGGCCACCACTGCCACCCCACAGCCATCACAGCCACCCTGGGGCCACCTTGGGTCATCCAAGGGTCACCTGACCCATTCCCAGGGCTGCTTTGGAGGGCTTTGGTCCCACCCCAAATTTTGAGGGATTTGGTCAAGCCCAAAGCCATTTCTGAGGGACCCTGATCTCCCCCAAGCCCCAGATTTCGGGGTGAGAGGGGCCGATTTTGGGCTACCTCGTACATGAAGATGTCGAAGACGCGCGTGGCCACGGGCAGGGGGAAGGTGGTGAGGAAGAGCGTGAGGAACCAGGACGAGGCGTACATGGAGGTCAGGAAGCTCTGCGAGCGGAAGTGCACGTTCAGCTCCGGCAGCTGCTCCTGCCACGGGAAACGGGAATGCGGGGGATTCAGGGACAGAAATGGGAATTCGGGGTCAGAGAAAAACGGGAATTCGGGGTTGGATTCAAGGACAGAAAAGGGAATTTGGGATCTGTCCCTGTCCCCGTCCCCGCTGTCCCCACCTGCAGCAGGAACTCGAATTGGTAAATGCAGAGCCCCAGCTCGGCCATGCTGGGCTTGAAGAGCTCGCGCAGCCGGTACTCCTGCATCAGCCGCACGAAGACGCTGAACGCCTCCTCCTCCGGCATCTGGGGACACCAAAACCCCGGGAATTCCCACCAAAACCCCGGGAATTCCCACGGAACTGATGGAACTCCCACCAAAACCCCTGGAATTCACACCAAACCTCCCCTGTTCCCATCGTACCCCCAGAATTCCCAGAAAACCCCCTGGGATTCCCACAAAAACCTCTGGGATTCCCACCTGCATCAGCAGCAGTCCCACAATGAAGGCGCTGCCCTGGCAATATCCGACCTCCCGATCCACCAGGGAATAGGCCTGGAAAAATGGCAAAAATAAAAAAAAAATCCAAAAAAATCCATGGATTGGGGTCATGGCTCCCCTGCTCCGGACATTCCTCGAGAGGGAAGCCCTGACCACGGAAATTGGGATTTTTTTTGGGATACCAGGATTGGGATATGGCTGAAAAGTCAGATTTAGATCCCAAAAGACATCGAGTTTTGGGTTAGAAATTCCAAATTAATGGGAAAAATGAAGTTGGGAATGATGGAATTTGGGGAGGAAAAGGTAAAAATTGTTGGCTCCAGGGGTTTGGGATGGAACCAAATCCCTCAAAATTTGGGCTGGGACCAAATCCCACAAAAATGAATTTGTGATGGAACCAGAAATGAGTTTGGGGTGGCCCCAACCTCTCCATGGAGGCCCCCAGATCTGCGTCACCTTCACAACGTCCCTGTCCCACCCCAGACCCCTGTCCCGAGTGTCCCCATGTCCCCAAACCCCCGTCACCTTCATGACGTTGAAGAGCACCTCCTGGCCCAGGCTGTCCTGGCCCTTGAAGAAGTCGTGCTCGGGGTAGGTGCGGGCGATGTCGCGGCGGATCAGGCGCTCGCAGGGCGACGACATCCGCAGCAGCTCCGAGTACTGCGCCTTGAGCGGCAGCTCGGCCGCGCTGCACAGCAGCTGCCACACGATGGCCCGGAAATGGTGCGGGATCCCCTTCCGGATCAGCTCCTGGGGACAGGGACACCCCAAATGTGACCCCAGAGCTCCAAACGTGACCCCAAACCTGCTGCTCCAGGGCACAGCAGGCACCACGTGTTAGATCCGAAACGCTGTGGGATCCCCTTCTGGATCAGCTCCTGGGGACACGGGGGTCACTCTGACCCCAAATGTGGTCAAAGCTGTGTCCTCCTATTGGACAAACCCATCCCAAAATGTGTCCAGTTGACCAAATCCACCCCAAAATGTGACCTGGGAGGACAAATCCCATCTCAAAGAACGACAAATTGAAAAAAATCCATCCCAAAACAGAACAAAGTGGACAATTTCACCCCGAAGCACGACAAACTGGGGTCACCTTGAGCAGCTTCTCCTTCTTCTTCCTCCACTCATCCCACTCATTGACGATGCGGCCCCAGAGGATCCAGGTGTCCTCCTCCAGGTGGCTGAGGTTGGACGAGGCCGAGGAGCTGGACACCAGCGAGGAGCCGCTGTTGCGCCGCGAGCCGTTCACCGAGCGCATCGACTTGGAGTCGGCCTCCAGCAGCCTGGGGACACCCAAAACTGACCCAAAATGTGCCCACAGGGGGTGGGAGAGACCCAAAATGTCCCCAGAATGAGGTGGGATTGACCCCAAACTGCCCCAAAACTGCCCCAGTCTCCTCACTGGTTCTGCTCCCTCAGATTGGCCAAAACTCCGAGCTGGAGAATCTCTAAATATCTCCAAAAATTGAAATGTTGCCCCCGAAAAGAAGATATTCCTCCTAAAAACTGATATATTCTCCCAAAAAAATTGGAGATATTCTCCTCAAAAACCACTCAAAAAAGGAAAATATTCCTCCCAAAATCATTCAAAAAACGCAGATATTCATCACAAAGAGGGAGCTATTCCCCTAAACCCATATGAAATGAATTTGAGGTCGAATTCCTGCCCAAATGAAGGGTGTAAAACACCAAAAATGAGCTTTTTCCTCACCGGTTCTGCTCCTCCAGCTTGGCCAGCAGCTCCAGCTCGTCCGGGCTCAGGTTCTCCGAGTCGGACGTTGGGGACCCCCCGGGGGCCGAGGGCCCCTCGTGGGACGAGGAGTCCGGGCTGGCGGCCGGAGAGGCCATGGCCGGCCTGGGCTCACCTGGATGGGCCAAAACCCCACGTTTCAGCCCCCAAATCCAAGGTTGCAGCCCAAAATCCTGTTTTTCAGCCCCAAACCCCACATTTCAGCCCCCAAATCCCACATTTCAACCCCATTCCTCCATCATTTCCACCCTTCTCCCTTTTTCTGCCTTTTCCACCTTTTTTCCCCCTTTCCCCCCACCCTTTTTTCACCCCTTTTTTCTGCTGTTTCCACCCCATTCCCCTTCTGGTTTTGCTGCCATTTACTGAAACCAATTTGTGCTTTTTTTATCCCAATATTTGCCCCACCTTGAAAATCTTCCCCTATTTTTCCTCCCTCCCAAAAGTTCCACATAACAGGGATTCTCCCCCAAATCCAGCAGCAATTTTTGCACTTTCTGCAGAGCCCAAAACACCAAATTTAGCACCAAAACGGAGCCTCCCCATCCAGCCACCTGCATTCCCAAATTCGGGATTTTTTTGGAAAATTCCTCTAAACGCCAGCAGGGAGAGGAATTTTGTGTTTTTCTGGTGTGGAATTGGATGGAAAAAGCCCCAATTTCGGATTTTTCACCAAAATTGTGGCTTCCCCCTCCCATCCAGTCTGGGAAAAGGGGAAAAATCCCAGAGGAAGGCGGAAATTTGGGGGAAAACCGTGGGAAATGATGAAGAGTTGATTGACAGCTCCCGGTAAAGCCCAAATCCCTGGATTTCAGCCCAAAGAGGAGGGGGGAAAACCCCAAACCCCTCCTCAAAATTGGGGGAGTCAAGGAGGGGAAAATTCTCCCAAAATAAAGATTTGGGGATGGATTTGGGAGGGGTTTTGTTTTTTAGTTCTTTTGTTTTTAACCAAAACCTCAGGGTTTTAAGGGAAAAGGGAGCCCAGAGTGCCCCAAAATGGAGGAAAAAAATCCCAATTCTCCCTCAGAATTGCAGGGTTTCATTCATTCACTCCTGTCAATTACCCCCCCCCACAAAAAAAGGGGAACACAAAAGGATGGGAGGACCCCTAATTCCTCCAATTTGGAAGGCGACAGACCCAAAATCCCCCTCTTAAAACCCTCCCTCAGAGCCTGGGCTGGAGGTTTGACCCCAAAATCCCCAAAAAGGGGGGGGTCACCCCCCAAAAAACCCATAAAGGGGTCAGCCCAAAAATCCCCCAAAAGAGGGGTGACCCCAAACCCCCACACAAAGGCGGGGGGGAACCCAAACCCTCTCAAAAATGGGGGTGACCCCAAATTCTCCTCAGGAGGGGTCAGCGAAGGGCCCCCACAAAGGGGAGGTGACTCCAGATGCCCCTGAGGGCTGCCATCCCCTCACGCAAAAAAGGCGGGAACCCCCCCGCGCCACTGGGGAGGGTCACCCCCATTTTCCCCCTCAGG